TACAAAGATCTAGACCAGTAGTTCTTAACCTTGGGTTACTCAGGAGTTTTGGACTGCAACTCCCAGAAGCCTTCACCACCAACTGTGCTGGCTGGGGTTTCTGGGAGTTGCAGTTCAAAAACATCCGAGTAACAAAGGTTAAGAACCACTGATCTAGACGAAGCCAGGCGGAGAAGAGGTCAGCCTCTCTCAGCCCTGCTTGTGTGTGTTCGTCATGCAAAATTGGCAGGGAGGTTAGTTTCGGAAGAGGTAGTCTTGTTCATCCATACAAACATTATAGGTAAAAATAAAATTAAAATTAAATGACCAATATAAAAGACAAAAACATAGTGGCACTATAAAACTAACTGTTGATAATGTGACCTTTTGTGGACAAGCCCACTTCCACAGATTTGAGAGAGATAACATGGCAAATATCTATACATGGCACCTTTTGTGGACAAGCCCACTTCCACAGACTTGAGAGAGATAACATGGCAAATATTTATACATGGTCTCAAACTACAGATATTGTGGTTGGTTAGCAAGACTGTCAATGGGTATTTTACAGGGAGGTGATAGCCTCTTTGATATACAGGTATATTCCATTGAAATTTGTGTTGTAATACAGGATGTAAGAACCTCTGTCACAGAATAACAATGGTAGAATAATGAAGAGACTGTCCATTTACAGTTTCTAATAACCTTTTCTTTATAGGAGGTTTTGTAAGCAGCTGCAGTGATATGTCCCCTTCACGGCCTGCTGCATTGTTGTGGTGAAGGGGCTTGAGTAATTCAGACAAGCTATGGGCTATGCCGTACAGGGACACCCAAGACGGACAGGTCATAGTGGAGAGTTCTGACTAAACACGATATACCTGGAGCAGGAACTGGCAAGCCACTCCAGTATCAAAATACACAGCAACCTTGGATTATATGTATTGATTATACTAAATAACCATATTCCTGCATAACCCTAATTTTAGATTGTTTCCCCATCTCCCTATTCCAAAACATCAGTTCTGTTTGCTTTAAGGCACCTCTCTGTTTTTGGTAAACATATAATATTGCTAGGAAATAATGACATGGCTTTCACATTTAGTTTAGGTTGGATCATTCATTTTCCCCAATGGAACACAGAGGAAGTTTGTACATCACCTCCCAGTGATGTTTAGTGGGCTCAGTCCTAAATACTTAAAAGATGTCACGAGCCCACCAGCAAAGCATTTTCTCTCTCTCCCAAACTGTGTAATATTCTTAACCCAGACGGGACACTTACATCATACAGTAACAATCTCTGATGCAGATGTTCAGAGCCGTGAACAACTGCATCCCTAAAATATGTTAAGATAATAAGATTGGAAATGCAATGTAATGCTTCACACTGTGCAGTCTTCCACTAGATTTGATTTAGAAAAGGTAGCCAGGTTAGTCTATGCTAGCATATCAGACAAAAAATAAAAAATTTAAGAAAAATTAAGAGAAGAAGCATTGTGGCACCTTAAAGACTGCTGTATTTTAATGTGACCTTTTGTGGACAAGCCCACTTCCACAGATTTGAGAGAGATAACATGGCAAATATCTATACATGGCCTCAAACTACAGATATTGTGGTTGGTTAGCAAGACTGTCAATGGGTATTTTACAGGGAGGTGATAGCCTCTTTGATATACAGGTATATTCCATTGAAATTTGTGTTGTAATACAGGATGTAAGAACCTCTGTCACAGAATAACAATGGTAGAATAATGAAGAGACTGTCCATTTACAGTTTCTAATAACCTTTTCTTTATAGGAGGTTTTGTAAGCAGCTGCAGTGATATGTCCCCTTCACGGCCTGCTGCATTGTTGTGGTGAAGGGGCTTGAGTAATTCAGACAAGCTATGGGCTATGCCGTACAGGGACACCCAAGATGGACAGGTCATAGTGGAGAGTTCCGACTAAACGCAATCCACCTGGAGCAGGAACTGGCAAGCCACTCCAGTATAATTGCCAAGAAAACTCCATGAACAGAAACAAAAAGCTAAAAGTTATGATGCTGGAAGATGAGCCCCTCATGTCGGAAAGTGTTCAACATGCTACTGAGGAAGAGCGGAGGACAAATACAAGTAGCTCCTGAAGTGGTTGGGCCAAAGCCTAAAGGACGCTCAGCTGCGGACGTGCCTGGAAGTGAAAGGAAAGTCCAATGCTGCAAAGAAAAATACTGCATAGGAACCTGGAATGTAAGATCTATGAACCTTGGGAAGCTGGAGGTGGTCAAACAGGAGATGGCAAGAATAAACATCGACATTCTGGGCATCAGTTAACTAAAATGGACAGGAATGAGTGAATTCAATTCAGACGATTATCATATCTACTATTGTGGGCAAGAATCCCACAGAAGAAATGGAGTAGCCAACAAAAGAGTAGGAAAAGCTGTACTGGGATACAATCTCAAAATCGAGAGAATGATTTCAATACAAATCCAAGGCAGACATTTCAACATCACAGTAATACAGGTTTATGCACGAACCACCAATCCTGAAGAGGCCGAAATTGACCAATTCTATGAAGACCTACAACACCTTCAAGAACTGACACCAAAGAAAAATGTTCTTCTCATTCAAGGGAATTGGAATGCTAAAGTAGGGAGTCAAGAGATAAAAGGAACAACAGGTAAGTTTGGCCTTGGAGTTCAAAACGAAGCAGGGCAAAGGCTAATAGAGTTTTGTCAAGAGAACAAGCTGGTCATCACAAACACTCTTTTCCAAAAACACAAGAGGCGACTCTACACATGGACATCACCAAATGGACAATACTGAAACCAGATTGATTATGTTCTCTGCAGCCAAAGATGGAGAAGCACTATACAGTCAGCAAAAATAAGACCTGGATCTGATTGTGGTTCTGATCATCAGCTTCTTATAGCAAAACTCAAGCTTAAACTAAAGAAAGTAGGAAAAACCACTGGGCTACTCAGGTATAATCTAAACCAAATCCCTTATGAATACACAGTGGAAGTGAAGAACAGATTTAAAGAACTAGATTTGGTGGACAGAGTGCCTGAAGAACTATGGATAGAGGCTCGTAACACTGTACAGGAGGTAGA